TCGTTGTGACCATACGAAATGGATGTAACACATACACTGACTTGGTACTCTCACCTTTGCAGCTTGGCGCGCAAGGCGGACATGCTTCGCACGGATCCAACCAATCCGGTGCTGAGACATCGAGCAACGACAGCGGAGTAAGTTGTTTTCAGGATCAGTTGATGAATCCGTAACTAACCTGTTACTTGCAGCGCAACCCCGACGGTACATTCAAGAAGGGCAGTGAACTTGCTTCCGAGTTGGGCACACAGGGCGGGCATGCCTCGCACTAGGAGCAGCATGATTAAAGTGCTGGTCGATCTCTCAGGGAGCGTTGGACACCGGGGTACTACCACGCGAGGCCATAAGCTTGATCACGAGACCATGAATTGAATGCAAAACGAAATACATGACTTGATTATGCATCTTATATAATTTACGACAAGCTGAGATGATCAGGCTTAAAGTGATTGATGGGACGTTGAAGTACTTCCTAGCCGCTGTAGCCCAAGGCATCTAGTTCCTTCTTGATCTGCTTCTCGGTGCTGATCTTCTTGACCTGAGTATCCTCTAGCTTCTCTCCACCGGCCTGACGCATCTTCAGCTCATCAATGGCGCGCATTTTCTTCAGCAAACCTCTGATCTTCTTATCCTGGGGGTTGCCGTCACCAGGGCTGGTGACAGTGAGGTCAGGGGGAGGACCCTGACTCTCTGTTTGAATCGGAGGAGGAGCCTGCGTCTGCACTGGAGCCTGCTGACGTTGCTGGGCAGGGTTCTGGCGCTGACCTCCGTCTTGACGAGCCTGACGGTTTGGGCTGTTACCGAAGTTGCGGTGCTGGCTGGCACTTCGTCCCTGCTGCTCGTATCCGCTCTTGCTGCGGCTACGCTGGCGACGTTCCGGGCTACGTCCAGCTCCGTTAGCTGAGTTGACGCCGTCGGCCGCGAGTCCAGCAGCCTTGTCAGCGGCTTCGCGAGCCTTCTTAGCCTCTCGCTTTTTCTTGTTTTTCAAGGCTGCCTTGGAAAGCTCTCCATCGCCATCCTGGGCGCCAGTAAGACTGACACCACCACCGGGGGCAGCACCGGGTGGAAGAGTATCTGCAGCCTCTGCTCCAGGTACCTCACGCCGACGCGGCTTGCCGAACCCGTTGGCGAAGCCAACATTCGTCGAAGAGATACCAGTGTTGGAGTAGGCCGCGCCTCCTTCGTCTTCACGCTTGAAGTGTAGGGGAGTAGCAGTCCCGCGCGCTCCGGGAGGGCGGTAGGCACCTGCAGGCTTCGATGGTGTCTTTTGGGTGCTCAGATAGGCGAGTGCGGACGAATGCGGCGTCGGGATAGTAGTCAAAGGGTCAGTTAGGGGGTGCATCGAGGTCGGCTGAGGTCGCCAAACGACGTGGTAGAGTTCAGCCATGTCTTCGTTGTACATGAGGCCACCGCTGACGTGGTAGATGCGAATTCCGTTGTCAACACGAAGACGCGGGCTAGTGGTTGCAGTAAGAATATGTTGCCCGTCGGGGCTCCACTCGCAATAGGTCGAGTTTGAGGTCTTTACATGGCAGACCTTGGCGAAGTTCTTCGCCAGATCGTAAATGTCCATATCTCCAGCTAGATTGCCAAACCCGGCAACGATGACGAAACGTCCGTGTGGGCTGAAAAGAATAGTGTTGCGCGGGCCTAGGTCGAAGCTGTGTTGTGCCACTGCGCGCTGGTTGAAGATGGTAGTCTTTGCAGGCATGTAGCCATAAGTGACACCGAACTCCTTCGAGTTAGGCGACCAGGAGACGTCGTGAATAGGACCTTCCTTGTCTAGCTGAATGCGCGAATCGAAGGTGCCGTTGGCACTAAGGATGTACATGTTGGTTTCGCCGTAGTAACTCTTGTTCGACTTGTCGACCTCTGTCTGCGCTAGGACAATCAAGCTGGTGCCGAGATCGTTCCACTTGAGCTGGACCTTGTCGCCCTTGAAGAAAGTCTTTTGGGATACAGGCTGGGTAAATTGAGGTACTTGGAAGACCTTGACAGCAGCGGGCATACCCTTGCGCTCCGGTACAAAAACGGCAACTGAATGGTTCTTGCCTGGAGCGAGCATCATATCGGTGACTCCTTCGACACGAAGCTTGTTCCAAGGGTTGCGCAAATCGCTCGACTGGAAAAATTGCACCTCGTTTGTTACAACGCGCGCACAATACTTCTCGTCGGACGTGTACTGCAGGTTCCAGCCACTCTGGTTCTTCTGGACGTATTCGCCGATGACCGCCCGCGATCCGTCATCTTCAGCTTCGTCGGACAGCGTCTTCCAGACTCTGAGGTTCTTCACAGCGTTTCCGTCTTCGTCCTTGGATGGGCGCTGCCATGTAATGAGATATGTACCGAGGGGGGAGAATCCGAGCTCGTAGACGTTCGGTGTAGGAAGTGTGGTAATGACGTGGCCGACCGAGGCATCAATCACCGAAACCTGTTCTGGTGTTGCCCATGCGAAGTACTTGCTGTCAGGCGAGTAGCAGCAGCAGCGAAGGTTGCCTTCAGGTCTATTAGGCGAATTAGCGTCGGCACTGGAGTAGGAGCTGCGCGAGAGTTCGTGGCATAACGGAGGCACTCACCGGACGAATCCAGGGAGAGCCTCATACACTGGGGCAGCGTTGAAGAGCCCGATGCCCTTGGCGGAGCGGTCTGTGAATATTGTTAGCGTGCTTCAACAGAAGCGATGGTACAGGGCGTGCGTACAAGCCAACTGTGTGGGAACAGCCATGATAACTAGTCAAAGTCACAGGAAGTTGTACAAGTGGGCGTGGGGCAAGGTGCTGGTGGTCGCGAAGTCTGGCTCAACTGCTGAGCTCGGTTTTGTGGGTTGGCGATGAGTAAGGCTAAGACAGGAACACGTCGGGTGTGTGGGTATGGGTTCGAGTGTGACGTAGTTTCTGTGACTTTATAGGCCAAGGGCAGACTTTGGGCGCACGCAGCGGCAACGGGTGGATCGTGGGAGGGAAGGAGGAACACGCGTCAGAGAATTGAAGGGTGACCGTGTGACGAGCGTAGGGCGATGGAAACATGGAGTCGAGAAAGAAAACCGTGGGCACGCGCGCTAGTGCTCGGGGAAAATGCGGGCCGCTGGCGTTGGCTGACTGTGACATCAGCCTCGCCAGCTCATGGACAATGGCCGAACAGCAGAATGGACTGGAGCTGCATAGGGTCATCAATCTGCGAGGTCTTTTTTTTTCCACTGGCTTTCCTTCTGACCGTATCGACGTCACTGCAATCTAGACCGATCTTATGCCGCCTGCACAGAAGGATTCGAGATTCAATGATCTGCAACCAGCTTTACCTGGCCAGTAACTTCGAATAAGTAACACCAACCGCAGTTTGATAGCACCAAGGATGGACATTGCCTGGTTTTAGTTTCTGCCGCTCACCCACATCGATATGCAAGATCAACAGCATAGTCCCCACGGGCGTTGCGCAAAAGTGAGTTGTGCTGATGCGCCAGCATACCATGTCTTATCGTTATCGCGTCAGTAGCGCTTCGCAAGCTCCCGAGCTCCATCTCAACTCCACAGATCCATCGTAGCTTCCGTCCACGTCTCCTTGGACGTCGTGCCGCAGAGATGCCGACCTCGATGCCCGCTCCCTCGATTCGAATACCAATGGAGCTTCTGACTCCAACTGCCTTCTCGCAATTCGGTACTGTCATCGAGAACCCAACAACATCACCGTCAGCGCAGCTGCCCATCCCCAACCGCATACCACCACCCGACGCGGTCGCGGCCAACCAGGGCTCGGCTACCAAGTACCTCGATGTCACGCACATGTCGAACCTGTATGGCCTTGCTCCGAGCAAGAAACCTGCCAAGGCGGTGATGAACATGTTTGTCTGTTCCCCACGGAACCTCCGGCCACACGAGCCGAGCATGAGCATGCCCAGCTCCTGGGGTGACTTGGACTTGGATGAGGACGAGGAAGGATGCGAAGACTTCCAAAGGCAGCTGTTGGACGTTGCCATTCTCGAAAGGCATCCCTTCACCACACAAACGTTTATCCCCATGGGCCTGTCGCAGCAGGAAAGACACACCCAGTCCCTTGTCATAGTTGCTCCTACTCTACCGGCAAGCGCTTCAAGGCGTCGTACGGGTAGGGCGCCGCCATATCCTACACCGCACATTGAACGGAAACGAAGCGTTATGGACATCTTTGCGCGAGCGAGACCAAGCCCATATTCAAACGAAACCGCGCCTTCTCAGAGCCAGTTCTCACGACTTCATCCGTCAGCACGTCCAAAGGGTCCGGGCTTGCCAGACCTCAAGAATCTCCGTGCCTTCGTGGCAAATGGAAGTCAAGCAGTGACATATGGGGCTGGGACATGGCATGCGCCGATGATCGTAGTCGGAGACCGACCAATTGACTTTGTGGTTGTACAATTTGCGAACGAAGTTGGCAATGAAGACTGCCAGGAGATAGTACTGAAGTCGGGTGAAACCGCTTCGGAGGGTGTTGTAGTCGTTATCGATACTGATGCATCAGGTGCTGTACAGGTCAAGGCTGGTGTAGGCTCTGTGAAGGCAAAGCTATGATGCTGACGGGTAGTGTCGTTTCTGATTCCATGAATTCCGCTGGACTGTCCCGCACTTGTCGCACTTTATCTTGCCTTGTGATTTATGTGTAAATAAGAACTGATAACCGTTGAAGATCACGGACTCCTTGCGAGCCACGGCTTTACGTGTGAGCGACTAGCTCTCATGTCTTGGAAAACTCATTGAACTTAGCGACAACTTCACAAGTGAACGGCTAGTAGTCCTTGCTGGAACGATGGCATGAGTGGTACAGGCCTCGCTTGTTTTCCCTAATCAAAATCATAGGGCCTCCCGCCATCCCTGTCGTAGCTCAAGTTGCAGGAACCGATAGGATAAGTAGAATCTGCTTTACCTGCCACGGTTTCCTTGTGCTCATCACCTATGGACCTCCGTCAATGTGACCAGAAACAATAGTGTCACAACATCCTCCAGTACCTCAGAGGTACCCCACGTTCCCAAATGGAAGAAGCAGACCTTGTAATCGTAGGCGCTGGTATTTACGGTCTCACCACTGCTCACACATACCACCGCCTACACCCCACAGCCACAATCCTTATCCTCGACTCTGCCTCGTGCATCGGCGGGCCATGGGCACCGCATCGCGTTTTTCCGGGTCTTCGGACTAACAATTTGTGGGGCATGTACGAACATCCTGACTTCCCTATGGAAGAGAAGAGGTTTATGGTGAAAAGGGGAGAGCATATACCTGCTGCGAAGATGTTCGACTACCTTTGTGCATTCACGAAATGGGCCGACATAGAGAAGTTCTTCAGGGGCCAAACGACTATTGATGCCATCGAGAAGGATAAAGATGGGGGCGGTTGGGTGCTTCGTTGTGCATCGACTATGCTAGAAAAGAAGGGTGTTGAGATCAAGGCCAAGAAACTGGTTATCGCTGTAGGCACTACGAACAAGCCGCTACTACCGCATTATGAAACGTCGACAAAGTTTCGACCTTTGGTGATCCATACTGCAGACTTCCCGAAACATCACTCGGTCATCGCGGAGCCGGGAAAACATACCGTCATTGTAGGATCTGGAAAGTCTGCATGGGACGTTGCATACGCATGCGCTAGCCAGCCTTCAGCGACAGCAACCTTACTTATACGTCCCGACGGTAACGGTCCTGTATGGATGACACCTAGTCACGTCACGCCTTTGGGTTTGTGGCTAGAGAAATTAGTTCATACACGCTTCTTTGGGTTCATGTCTCCTTGCCCGTGGGCACCGACGACGGGCATTGAAGGCTGGTTGCGCTCCTTCTTCCATCGCACGTGGCTCGGAAGAAAATTAGGTAAGTTGTGATTGTTTGGAATGCATGTGAGAACAACGCTAATTTGGTGTCTTCACCACTGCAGTGGGTGCTTTCTGGAACATACTTGGGGAAGACGCTATCGCGCTGAATGGGATGGATAAGCATCCTGACACAAAGAAGTTACGGCCGTGGAGAGGCGCTTTTGAAGTTGGCAATGCACTGTCAATTCATAACTATCCAAACAGCTTCTTTGAGATGGTTAAAGAAGGGAAGATCAAGGTCATCATAGACGATATTGCCAGTCTGTATGGGGAACAACAGGTTATACTGAAGTCGGGACAGGTGTTGGAGACGGACGCAGTCGTATGCGCGACAGGATGGCAGAAAGGATACACGTTTCGTTTCGAACCTAGAGAGCTGGAGAAAGAGCTGGGCTTGCCAACGACATTACCACCAACACCCGAAGAAGAAGCTCTTATACAGCGGTCAGAAGAGACTCTATACACCGAATTCCCTTACCTCAAAGAGAGGGACACAAGTCGCGTCTACCACCCCAACCACTCCCTTCGCCATGCCCAACAGCCAACTACAGATACGCAGCCTTACCGCCTGCACCGCTTTATGGTACCTCCGAAAGCCATAGCAGATCGCAACATCGCCTTCGCAGGCGCAGTGCATTGTCTCGGCACTTTCCCCAACGCGTACATTCAAAGTCTCTGGATCACCGCCTACCTTGACGGTACCCTGTCTGTTCCCTCCTCGCCCACCAAGACACTTGAGGAGACATACCGTAATACACAATACTGTGTACTACGGGGCGCAATGAGCTATGGGCATACATTGCCTGACCTTGTCTTTGATACTCTGCCCTACTTCGACACGTTATTAAAAGACATGGGTATGCAAGAGCGTCGTAAGGGTGGAGGCGTAAGGGAGTGCGTGAGTAGCTATGGTCCGGAAGACTATCGGGGATTGCTGGAAGATGTTGAGATAAGGATGAGAATAGTGAGGGGCTTCCTAAAGTAGTATGATGTGTCGACAGAGAAGTCAAGAGACCAAGTGAGCTACTGAGAGTGGTAAGTAGTAAGTAGAGAAATGAGTCCGATGTATATATTAGACCAGAATTTGATGATCGAGCAAACCCAACTTGAAGTCAAAGGGCTTCACAGCACTACACTAGACTTATACAGCCTTCGACCACAGCCATCTCAGCTAAATCGTTCTATCATCCCTCTCCTGTAGTATGCGCATGACCTAAATATGAGAGTTGGAAGTCAGGGTTTGTCTTACATGCAGTTCGTAGCGGGACATTACTGACCATCCAATGAATCAAGTCTCTCGCCGCAGTCGCATCTTCCAAGCTATCGTGGCCTTTGTTGCCTTTGGTCTGGATATCAGTGGCGAGATACTTCTTCAGCAATGTCTTCAAAGCTAAGTCGCCTGTACCCTTGGCCTTTTTCTTTTTGGGTACACCATCAGTGGCGGTAGTTGAGTTCCCTACCATCTGGCTGTTGGTCGTCAGGGAAGACTCATGACCATCAGCTAGCCCTGCGATCGCTGGAAGGCATTCCTCTATTATTCTCGCCGCTGCTTCACTCGCTTTCTTTTCTCGCGCTTCGATTGCCTTCTTCTCCTCGATGATTTTATGCTCTACCACGTAGGAGTCTACAACCCGTGGATGAATCAACTTCAATGCCTTCAGATCGTTGTGAACACTATGTCCTACGATGACTGTGTCAGGCCCTACGAATTTCCACAGCAGTCTTCTTGCCCCAGACTTCCCCTTCAGCGTGGTCTTCTTTCTCACAGCCTCATTCATTTGATCCCAAGTGACACCCGACCACTTGGTATTGAGATGCAGCATTGGCTGATCCGGCTTCACCAGGTTGTTAATCAGCACTTCGCCGGTCAAATAATCGATGGCGCTTAAACGAATAAGCTCAGAATCTCCGTTTCTAGCCGTGCCCATCTCGCAGTCGATTGCGACGGCAAACTTAACGGAAGTAGCACGGTCCGGATGAAATCGAGGAGTTTCATGGATTTGATGCAAGCGATCGAGCTCACTTGGTCGGTATTCGCGCATCTTGTGAACATTGGTACTGTTGCATGGCGTAGCCTTGGAAACGGGCTCTCCACAACACATCCAGCACTAATGAATTTAGTTCCGCAGCTTAAAGCAAGTGTCGTGTTGGATTCACCTTCGTGGTGCGGTCGACTGCTGCTGAGTGGTAACGGCATGGTACTGTAGAAGGCTGAACGTCGGTTTGACCATCCTCATAATATATGAGCATTGTAGGCCATGTCCTGGGATGCATGTCTGCTGAAGTTGTTTGTTGGTCAAGGTCGAGCAGAGCTTTTTTTTAGACCCTTGGTGAGCTGTTGTATAGCTACAAGAGAGTTAGAAACGCTGTAGAGATCTACGTGCACATTCCAAATGCTAATGCTTCTCCCTACTTTGGTTGCAGTTACTGCATCTTCGTTTCTCATGAATTTCCGCGTCTGTCAGCTGTTGGAATCGATAGCCATGTTTCTGCAGGACAGATGCGGGTTCTAGGAGGCTTCGAAATATGTCGAGGTAGGCACCACTAGGCGGTGGTTCGAGCGCTGAGGGTGCTGGGCCCTCTGGTGGCTCGGGGAGGGGAGGATATGGCACTGTGTTGGCACGGGGATACGCCATAGTGCTAGAGGGTTATAGCTGTCTCCGATCACGGTGTTTGTAAAATCCGTAGCGTGTGCAAGCTAACGATGCTGACGGTGACAACGAAGGGTTCACGTGATGGCAAAGTGGGGATGGGTATTTGGATGGCGCGTTGACCAGGGTAGTCGCGCTAGAGTCGCGTCGCGTTTTCTAGCTGACTTCAATACGTCACTCCTAGCTGACGGCATGCGTATAGTATAGTTGTTCACCTGGGAGTGTCATCAGGTAGACCCTGCAAGATTGGGAATATACGAGCACTTCGTTCATCTAATCTCACATCTAAATCTTCATGCCATCCAGCGCGGCCTCTAGATCAATGATCTCCTTCCCCTTACCACCACTGGTGCTTTTCCTCTCCCTGTACTCCTTAGCCACGGCCTCCATCACCTTTCCCATCTGAGCGTCCTTGCCCTCGGCTTCCAGCTCCTTTTTCACACGTGCAAAGTTGGCTTTGACGAAGACTTGGTATTCACTCTTTTCCTTCTTACCATCTTTGCCTACAGTAACACCGGCTCCGACTCTGGGTGTGGGTTTGGTCTGCGCGAGCTTTCCCTTGCACTTGCCGCAAGAGTGGCGGGCTGGATCGACTGATTTGGAGTGACGCTTGAACTCATAACCGCAAGATATACATTCCCAAACGTACTTGTAGTCTATTTGGTACGAGTGTTTGGTGGTGACTTCAACGCCCTTGTTGGCGAAGGCGACAGTAGCTTTGCGGCCCCAAGATTTGAACTCTGCTCCGTGCGGGTTGTTACGTACTTCGCTGATCATGAATGTCGTCAAATGACAGAACTCGTGCGCGAGTACGTTGTAGAGTCTCTCCTCATCGTCGATGACTTTCTCAGCGAGTTCAATGGAGCAGTGGTGTCGTATCTCTACGCGCGTATCTGTGGGGAGGGTCCCGGTTCGGATTCGTATCTGCTCTCTACGCCAATTTGCGCGACCGGCTGTTGTTTTGAGTGTCTTAGACCAGACGAGCTTGATGCCGCCTGTAGGCTTCGAGAGCTCGTGGATACGGCCTGAGGAGATAGTGGTGTCGAGCTCGACGAGGAAAGCTTCAGCTATGGCGTGCTTGCGTTCAGCGAAGGCTTTGCGTTGTTCGCGGATTTGCTTGACATTCGAGGCTGGTTGAATCTCTGGCAGTCTCGCTTTGGCTGGTTTGCGATCTGTGGGCTTCTTTTTGGGGCTCTCTATGGGGCTTTCGTAACCCTCGTCACTGCTGTCTTCAAGAGCCACACCTTCCATCATCTTGACGATGTCTTCCCGCCATTTCTGCTTCTTAGGCGACACGAGCGTTTTGGCTGGTGAGTGACGGTCGGTCCACTCATTCACAGCTGCAGGATTCCAGAACGCGTCAAGACTTGGTCTTCCATCTATATCATTGGCCTTGAGAATGACTGGCTTCTTTTTCGAAGGCGAGACAAGTTTAGTTGGGCTGGGAGGAGCCAGTGGAGGTGTCGCTGGTCGTGAGATGGGTGGAGCTTTGCAAGGCGAGCGCTGTTTAGTAGGTGTTGGAGAGTATGTCAGAATTGGAAGGGGGGCATTTGACGCTGAGCTGGTAGGACGAGAGGAAGCTGCGAAGGAACTCGATCGTACGTGGGTGCGTTCAGGGAGTGCAGAAGATGCCGGAGCCTCTGGTGAATCTGTGAGATCGACAACCTCTTGTGCCCAATTTGACATCGAACTATGGCCATTTGTATTTGGCGGTCGCATGGAATTCAGATCGGCTGAAGGTTGAGGAAACATTTTTACTGGCTTGAGATCGGGAATCTTGAACATCGGTTGTTGAGACTGCTTGAGAGGCTCTGGTGCGCTCAGCTCACTCTCATCCTCCTCGCTGTCAGACACTATACGTCGTGCGCGCGGTTGTCGCTGATTCTTTCTTGACTTTACAACAGGCTCATCATCTTCGTCTTCCTCGCTGATATCTGCCACTGGCTCGGCAGCCTCGTCTTGTGTCGCAGCTTCCTCATCGCCACACCACAGACTTGTCTCTTCCTCTTCCTCAGTCTCGTCTTTCAGTGTCTCCTCTCTACCCTCCTGTTCCCTGTTGCGTGACCGTTGAGCTGCCTCTTGTGCTTCTTGCTCCCCTACAACATTTATCTTTCCCTTCTGCGCCTGCTTGTTCACCACGCTTCTTGCCAGGCTTTTGGCATACAGAAGTCCGTTCCTCTTTCCAACATCTGTGTCTGTTGTCCCACTACGTACTCTTCGCTCTCTTTGTTTCTTCTCCGGACTTGCTAGACTTTCATCGCTAAGTTTGCGGAGTAGACGACTGTTGCTCTCGACCGGTCGCAGTACACGTTGCTTTCGCGGGGTAAGCGCATCCCTGGGCGTCGCTGCCTTCGGTATGCGAAACGAATGCTCTGTGTCTTGTGATATGCTAGTATCCCGCGCTATGCGCCTAGAGGTCTTGGGAACCAATATGGAGGTGTCGTCTTCTTGTGATGATGCGTATCGAAGGGTGGCCTTCCGCGAACTTGATCGGCTTGTTCTCGTCTCGGACGGTGTCATGAAAATAGTCGGTTCGTTCGGGCTCGGTTTGCGTAGACGTGCCATATTCGCGAAATTTGGTATAAGATAGTATAATGTGTAAGGATATTCAAGCCGTCGTGTGTGCGATTGGTACCAAGAATGTTGTTCGCACAAGGATGCTTAGACGTTGGAAGTATTGGCCAAGCATGTTTGTTATCGGCCGTTGTCCCGGCGACTAGCGGGAACGGTGCCGGGATCCACCTCGCACGTTCTCAGTGCCATGCACGTTTTTGCTGTGCTCTGGCCCGAGCACGCGATAGTACTTGATATCTGAGGAATGCGATGATATCCAGGGAACAGGGTGTCCTCCGGACGTATACATCATCTTCTGTCGCTACATAGTATACCAGGAACTTCACCGAATACCCCTACGTTACCTTTTGTCTTGGGTTAAACTTGAGATATCGAGCTCCATAGTCACCTCAACCATCATCCACAATCACGTCAAAACATGTACCGTTGGTAACAAGGAAAAATCAGTCATACATTGCATGCTAACCATCACAAATACAAGCAAACCCAACCACATTGAGCTCAATGGATCGACATGAAAGCTGCACTACTGCGCCCATTTGCGGGTGTCCAGCTCCGTCTGATCATCTGTTCGATCCACCCCAGACGTGAATCTCCTCATCCCCATTCGTGAAGCATCTGCGGGGTATTCATCCTTCTGTATTTACATCCCCAGTGGTGATTGTTCTCATCCGTTCTCTATCATGTGCATTTACTGCTTGGCGTTCTTGGCCATGGTGTTGAGAGCGCTGCCGTTCTTGAACCATTCAATCTGGCCCTCGTTGAAGGTGTGGGAAAGCGGGATCTGGAACTCCTTGCTGCCATCGGCGGGGTGGACAGTCATGGTCAAAGGCTTGCCAGGGGCGAGCTCAGTGGAGGCCAAGTCGACACGGTCGTTAGGGCCGATCTTGTCGTAGTCGGCAGGGTCGGAGAAGGTGAGGGGAAGCATACCCTGCTTCTTCAAGTTGGTCTCGTGGATACGAGCGAAAGAGCGAGTGATGATGGCTGCGCCGCCCAAGTGCCTGGGCTCGAGCGCAGCGTGCTCACGGGAAGAACCCTCGCCGTAGTTCCAGTCTAATAACGTTAGCCAAGATGCAACTTATTGGTGCAGTAGAATTCTCTTACCTCCAATGACAACCCACGGGACGCCGTTCTTCTTGTAGTCACGGGCAACATCGGGGACGGCACCGTACTCGCCGTTGAGAGCGTTCTTGACCTTGTTGGCCTCGCCGTTCTCAGCGTTGATGGCACCAATCAACATGTTGTTGGAGATGTTGTCCAAGTGTCCACGGTACTTCAACCAGGGACCAGCCATGGAGATGTGGTCGGTGGTGGTCTGCAGATAAGTCAGTATGTGTTATGTATCTCGTGGAGGCTGGGCAAATACCTTTCCTTGGCACTTGATGAGGATGGGAAGGTCCTTAGCATCCTTACCATCCCAGGCCGAGAAGGGAGAGAGGAGCTGAAGACGGTCGGAGGTAGGGGAGACAGCGACGGAGACAGATGCGCGGTCCTCAGGGGGAGCCTGGTAAGTGTCCTGGCCGGGGTCGTAGCCGTTGGTAGGAAGTCCGAGACCAGTAGGCTCCTTGAGCTTGAACTTGGAACCGTTGGAGTCCAAAAGATGGTCCTCCAAAGGATTGAAGTCAAGACGTCCTGCGATGGTCATGGCCACGACAAGGTCGGGGGAGGTAACGAAGGAGTGAGTAGCGGGGTTGGCATCGTTACGTCCAGTGAAGTTACGGTTGTAGGACGAGATGATAGAGTTGGCCTCGCCCTTCTTTACATCCTTCCTGTCCCACCACGGGGGGGTCAGCAATCATAGCGAGAGTAGGGGGGAGGAGGGTAGGGGTGAAGGAAGGGAAGTAAGAGAGTGAATGTAGTCTAAATGACATACCTGACCTGCGACGACGTTAGCATGAGATCTATAAGCAAGTGAGTCTGATGATGCAGGCTGGAGGTATTCACAAGCATCTGAAGCATCACTGATCGAAAGGGAATCCAGTGTAGTTGTCAGGCCGAATAATGTGTCGATGGATGTGCTGGTGTCGTCGTCATCGTCGTAGGCTCCATCAAGACCAGGAATAGAGCGTGTGTTTATGTCCAGATCATAGTCGTCATCGTCAGACTCGATTGGGGCACAACGAGTGGCTCTTCGCTTGGTAGGCCGGACGATGTCTGACAATGAATCATCGTCAGAATCGACAGAGTCGATTATGGTCGTCGTTGCTGTGCGTTTGGAGCGAGAGACACCGGGCATCATGAGGGAGAAGGCGTTGGTCAGCGGTGGAACACATGGTGTAGATGGAGCAGCTATAGCCAAATCGCCATTGGTGATGTTCGTCTTTGCTGTGAGCTCGGTGCGGTATGCACCAGGCATCATGAGAGAGAAGGCATTGGTCGACTGGGGTGGAGTAGACGGTGTATTCAGATCCAGGTCGTCGTCCTCACTGTCGGTCTCGATTTGTGCACGACGGATGACTCTACGCCGAGATGACCGAGCGATATCAGACAATGTATCATCGTCAGAATCGACATCGTCGATTTCAGTGGATGGCTTAGTGGGCTGGACAGCGTCTATCGAGTGAGACGATGAGGCGGAGGCAGTAGACTGGATGCACGGTGAATCGACGTCGTCGACTCGGGCAGCGGCAGCGGCGGCGGCGGCTCTACGCTTGTGCTTGCCGGAGAGACAATGATTGGCTAGACGGCTTGCAGTCAGGAAAGCCTTGTTGTCGCAGACACGACAAGGGTAGGCACCCTCAGCCTCCTTCTTGTTCTTGTACGTCGCGAACCATTTCGAGTGCTTCGATTCGACGTAGGTGCCAGCTTCCTTGGCCTTGTGCGTCTTGGACTTCTGGTGGGAGGCGAGGCCACTCTTCTTGCCGAAGTCTTCATCGCAGACGTCGCAGTGCCACTGCCCAGTAGCCTTGGTCTTGTGGAAGTTGTTCCTAGCGTTCTCACGGAATTCATCTGGCTTCTTCGCAAAGTACTCTGCTGCCCTCTTGCGAGCATGGGCCTTGTCTAACTCATACGTGTCTGGATTCTCTTTTCGAGCGGCAGACCAGTCACGCTTGTAGCCGGCTAGATGCAGCTTGTAACGTTCAGCCTTCTCGGCGGCGAGAGCGCGCTCATCCTCAGTGGTGAAGTCTCGAACACCGGAGCGGACACCTTCAGCGAAAGGTGTGTGAGAGTTGATAGGGTCGTAATCGAGGGTGTCGATTGGCCATAGGCAAAGATATCTGAGGGCAGAATCAGGACGTCCGGGGACCAGCGTTCCAAACGCATAGGTGAAAGCAGCCTCCATGGCGAGGAACAGGACGCGAAGCGGAATAATGAGCAGTCTGTTTGTTGGTAGCGGCATCGTAGCGAGAAGCCCATAGGAAGTGATGTGGTAGCCATCGTTGAGAGCTTCCTCGAAGTAGAGTGGTAGGTTGACACGGTTGCGGTAGTGGCCAAACCTCACCACAACTCCATCTTTGGAGTGAGTTGCTGAGCCAACATATGCGAGTGGTCGGCAGCCTTGCTTCTCCAGCACCAGTAGATAAACGCCCCATAGCCTAGTACCTTTGGTTGGTAGTGACTTTAGGTAGGCGATTGACGGTGGGGTAGCTGAGTTGAGGACCTCGAAAAGGCACGGGGCAAAGGTAATCGAGACGGAGGACAGCAGCTGCAGGATGACAGGCAAGCTGGTAAGGCGGGTAGTGAACTCAAATCCCTTGCGATTAGACGGTGTATTGCTTAGGCAATGCCAGATGAGATTCGCCATCAGGACGCCCATGGTGAGGGCGTCGAAGAGCATGTTGAGGAAACCGCCAGTGGCGGTTGCAGCTCGAATCGAGTGACACGATTTGGGCAGTAGCAGCAGTAGTAGGTGGTGGTGGGTGGAGTAGTTGTCGCTGCTCGAGTGTCGTGAGATGGAAGTGAGAGAGGTGGGATGGTGAGAGATGCGAAGGTGAGAGAACCTTCATGCTTGTTGACATCTCCGAATGGCAGGTGCAGTCACCGGCACTCACTTCCGTGTTGTGGAGGAAAGAGCACCCTAAAGGCCCTCACGGCCTCAGCTGTGGCAGGAGCTGTGCGGGAAAGAGCACCCTGAAGGAGCTCAAGGGAAGGAGCTACCGCCTCAACACACAGTGTCTTGAGAGCGAGTGATGTATACATCAGGTTCGAGAGAGGCTCTCTGGAAGACTGGATGTGCATGTCGCCATCATAGTAGATGGAGCTGAGGCTGCCGACAGACTGATGATAATGCACCCTGGAAGCATACAGATGGTCTGAGGTATGCTGTCTGGAGGATCAGAAGCACATGTCGCCATCAGGGTAGCTGTAGCTGATGCTGCCAACCAACTGATGATAATGCACTCTGAAGGCCCTCGCGGCCTCAACAGTGGAAGGAGCTGTTGGGCAAAGTGTACCCTGACGACCCTCAGGGCATCAGGAATGTGTAGGGTTGCCAGCTGACGATAGTATGCTCTGGAGGTAGTCGCGGTATCGCGACCCTCTTGGGGGCAGATGCGACAAAATCGAGGGAGTCGATTATCAGGCTAAGGCTTCAGGTCAGCTATGCACTTCAAGACTCGAGTTCAGTAGACATACCAAGTCAATCAAACTGGCACTGGCGATTTGGGCTGTGCGCACCCATGACTGGAGCCTCAGGTGGATTGAGGCGAAGAGGGCACCCTCAGAGGTGGATGTTGAAGAGGGCGCCCCCGGAGGTGGAAGCTAGAGGGGAGGGCGCCCTCAGAGGTGGAAGCTCTAGATGAGGCCAGCCTCAGAGGTGGGAGTTGAAGCAGCCTCAGAGGTGGATAAAGGCGAAGAGGACACACCCAGAGGTGGATGGGGGTGAGGACATCCTCAGTGGAAGCTCCACATGAAGGGTGCGCTGGCGGTGAAGCCCAAGAAGAGGGGGCCAATCAGCCACATCATGTCAAACGTTGCGTTTGAAGCCCAGGTAATCCAGGTAATCCAGGTAATCCAGGTAGGTCCAGATCCAGAAGTCCAGAAAGTGATCACGATGCTTCAGATGCTTACAAACCTTTATACAAACCATACAAACCATAATGTGCAAGGGGAAAGTGTAGCCTAAGCACTCCGCGACATTGAGACATTCAGGACTTCTGAAAAATCTAAAGTCGCAAAGTGCTTCAGGCTATGCTATAAGGAGGGAAATAACTCACCAATACAAGGAATTTGAGTAAGTCAGCATAGAGTTCAACAAACAGAGGATGGAATGACTAACCCGCATGCGTTAGCAAGGACCATACCGCCAAATTCCTCGAAAGTCTTGAGCTGACCATCACGCTCGATGGTGGCGCGAATCTGCTCGGAACCAGGGGTAACAGTGAAGAGAGACTTGGCCTTGATGCCGTGAGACATGGCGTCCTCAGCAATAGAGGCGGCGCGGGTCATATCCTCGTAAGAGGAGTTGGTGCAAGAACCGATAAGACCAACCTTGAGCTCCTCAGGCCACTTGTTGGCCTTGACAGCCTCCTTGAACTTGCTAATAGGAGTGGCTAGATCGGGAGTGAAGGGACCGTTGATGTGGGGCTCGAGCTCGTCAAGGTTGATCTCAATGAGCTCGTCGTACTCGGCACCCTCGTCCTCACGGAGCTGGGCAGCGTACTCGCGGGAGAAGTCACCAATGTCGCGGCGCTTGGTGGCGGCAAGGTAGTCGTACATGCGGTCGTTGAAGGGGAAGACGGAGGTGGTGGCACCAATCTCAGCACCCATGTTGCAGATGGTAGCCATACCAGTGCAAGACAGGCTCTCGGTACCAGGACCGTGGTATTCGACGATAGCACCGGTTCCACCCTTAACAGTGAGGATACCAGCGACCTTGAGGATGATGTCTATAGACTGTGTTAGCGTGATTGCCCCGCTTTCGAAAACCAATATTTCAAAAACATACCCTTGGGAGCAGTCCAGCCGGAGAGCTTGCCAGTAAGCTTGACACCAATAACCTTAGGAGCCTTCAGTTCCCAGGGAAGACCAGCCATGACATCGACAGCGTCGGCACCACCAACACCAATGGCGGCCATACCGAGACCACCAGCGTTGGGAGTGTGCGAGTCAGTACCGATGAGGAGAGCACCAGGGAAAGCGTAGTTCTCAAGCACGATCTGGTGAATGATACCAGAGCCGGGCTTCCAGAAACCGATGTTGTACTTTGCGCAAGAGGTGGACAAGAAGTTGTAAACCTCCTTGTTGATCTCGTTGGCGCGCGCCAAATCCTTCTCACCACCAACTTGGGCCTCGATAAGATGGTCGCAGTGGACGGTGGTAGGAGTGGCAACGGAGGGCAGACCAGCTGACATGAACTGAAGAATAGCCATCTGGGCAGTGGCATCCTGGCAGGCTACACGGTCGGGACGGAGCTTGAGGTAGCTGGAGCCGCGCTCAATCTCTTGACCGTGGGGGTCGTCCAAGTGGGAGTAGAGGATCTTCTCGGCAAAGGTAAGCGGGCGGTTCAAGCGGCCGCGAACAATCTGGAGGTTCTCGTTCATCTTCTGGTAGTTGATGTAGTGGCCCTTCTCCCAGTTGGTCATCTCGACCTTGCGAGAGAGGGGAGCATCGCTGACGGTGGCCAATTGCCTGCGCGAAGCAAGGCTCTGGCCCAGGCGGCCGAGCCTCGAGAACTTCTGCATGGTGAGGATTAGGGGAGGGTGGTGTGGAGAGAAGAGTGATGGAGGAAGCGGAGGAAAAGAACGTCAGAAGCTGGCTCAAGTTGGGCGATAACTAATGAGGATCACGAGGTGTGTGATTGGCTCGTCTAGCCCCAGCTGCGTGCGGAATACCTCGGCGCCTGAAACCAGAAACAGGTCGGCTGCGCAGTCCCGTTGGCCCGCTTCACGTGCAAGCGCGGTGTAATGGGGACGTAATTATGGAGAGTACAATTGTCTTGTGTGCGACGGGGGCCCAGCTGGTATTTCACGTCTTGGGGGCTGTCGAGACGGGTGCTTGAGAGCTGTGGGTGTTCACTTCACCCAGACGTCATAGCCACCAGCCGTTCACCGACCCCGCGCTCATTCCTTTTGGAGGTGATTGGCGTTCTGCGATAGCACAGTTGCCCAAGAGCGCCCCGGAGGTCTGCGCTCCCTTTTCCGACCCAACAATTGTGTGCCGAGTCAGCATGTAGGCCTGCAGACATGGCAAATTTCGGGTTCTGGAGCAACAGTAGCATCTACCGCAGCCTGATTCGACCTAGCTCCACAAGTCTTTTTGACCTGCAGACCCTGCACGGACCCCATCTCCACACTGCAACTTTCTCTATAGCCGACCATCACGATTTCACACGGATAACCGACGGCCGCGGATACTGCCCACCATGCCTGCCATACGCGGACAAGACTCCAAGAAGAAGACACGTAGACATACGCGCGACCTCGACCAGATCCACGCCGACTTGCGCGACGAGAAGCATCTTGCCGAATTCAAGGATGCGAAGCCCATAGAAGATTTGCCTGGCCTAGGGCAATGGTACTGCAAGGAGTGCGCAAAGTTTTTTGAGAGCGACGGCAACTTTGCTGCGCATCAAAAGGGCAAGGTCCACAAACGGAGGTAAGAATATCGTCTTTGCGATTATGAGAACGGCGCTGATGGGTTTCTAGGGTCAAGCAACTTCGCGAAGAACCATACTCCCAGAAAGAAGCAGAGGCAGCGATTGGCCTTACCACCAACAACGGAACGCGCACCACGGCTGCAACAGCCCCGATGGAAGTCGACCAGGTTGCAGCATCAGGTTGAGTGCTGCGACAACGTACGTCTTCGTCAACTGGAATTAGACTTCTTTGGTGGATGGTCACAAGACACGGTGGTCTGGGGAAAGAATGACCGACACATATCTAGAGCTGGCTGAGACGGCAACAAACCGCTAGCTACTCAAGAGGATGATAAGGTCTGGGAGAAGAAACATGCATTGCACGGCGTTCAAAATTGGGATATGGAACATTTAGAAGGGCCATAAAGCTCAAACGATACCCTACATTTCAGGTCGAAACACTCAAGTTCTCACAAATACTACCATATCTTGTTCGTGACCACTGTGCAATGCTATCAAGATCAAACATGTTCTCTTGCAGCTGTAATATGCCCCTGTTGTAGAACTGCAACTTCGAATTAAATATATGTACAACCAGAGAACGGCTCTGCAAACAAAATACTTGATAGCAAACTCATCAAGCTCCAGTGCTGTTTCGCTGTTGTCAAGAATGTCACAGGTAGCCATTTTGGTGCTGCCTGATGTTGCCTGGTGGCTACCTACGTGCCTTCGCCATCACCAAATCATAGTCGCAACATAAGTACCACATCAAGTTCTGCACATAGTACAACAAACGGCAGCCACTTCTCTGTAGCATCAGATTACACTATGGCATTCACAAACACTCCTCTCTACGGTGGCGCAATAACCCTCGACCTCCCCTCCAACTTCGCCGACGCATCGTAAGTTCTTCTCTTATCCTGCGTGCCCCCACATCCCGCGCCTTCCCTTTGCATCGTCATTAACCCCACGCCCAATATTTACAACCGTCCAATACACAACTCCCCTCGAAAATGATACGGCAGACTCCGGACTTTCATGCTAACGATGTAACTCAACAGGCAGATCCGCCAGATCCCTGACCACCAAGAAGTCTACCTCGACAGCAACGGCTATTCTAGTATCGTCGTCGAGATACTAGAGTATGTCGAAAAGAGCAATGATGAAGAAGCTTTGCAGTATCATTTTGGCGATCTAGTCGAAGATACCGGCGACCAGACTACGATCATCTCGCAAGACCGTGCTGCGATGAAATCGTTGCCGTACGTAGTGTCTGATATCTTCAGAAAAAGGACCAAAGCGAGGGCACAATCAAATGAGAAGCCCTGATATATATATACATGGCTGACTGAGATTGTAGGAACAACTCAGTCTTGACATTGACATTCATCCAAACCCCACCAACACCCAACCCACACCCCAATCGGAAGACTCCCGAGTTCACATATATTCACCTCATTCTTCTTCGCCTCAAAGAGCAAGGTACCGATGTAAGTAGCATTTCTTTCACCCAAACCTCCGTATGATCACCTCTTACTCAGCACTGTTGACAACCCTACTTCATCATTGCTAATGTACCTTTGAAGATTATGATCTCAATCAACATTCCGCACTACCCGGGCGAGTTCACTCCAGCAGGGCAGCAAGGTGACGAGACGCCATTGATGGAGGATAGTAAAGCGGTGAGAGAGAGGGTATTGGAGAGCTTCAAGGTGAAGGAGTGGGGACTCTTTGAAGGCTAAGGTCAAGACAAGAGATGTCATGAGGACATGCCTTTAATGAAAACAGGTGTCAAACGGATAAGAGAGAGAGTCGATGCTAGAGATGAGTTGAATCATAGGACAGAAGAAAGATTTGGAAACGACCGGAACGTGTAGGGAGTGATGCAAGGAGAAAGGTAAATATGTATACGGGTCAACATTCGAAAAGATGGATAGCAGTACGTAGTCGTTAGTTTAGCAACATTTCTCATAGAGGTATCTAGAAATCACAGTCCAAGAGTATCACCGCAATCATACTGAGAGGAACGATTCGTGCTCACAAGCTTCCATTGCTGTGTTATTGCATTATCTAAAAATGCCGCTATGATCTTGCAGCATTCCATTTCCTCGTGTGATTAACCATGCCGTCATGGCTTACGACCACGTCCATCAATATAGACAGGTCGACATCGACTGTCGATTCTTGAGGTCCAGTATATGGAGGCATCCATTAGTCATCCATGCCGTAGACCATTATGTTCGAAGATGCACATGCTGTATCTGCTTACTTGTATTGACTCACACGATTCAACCTTCTTCGCATCTCCTCCCCTGCAGTAGGTGCCCGCTCATCTAAACCTGGATCGAGACTCATGCGTTGATGATCAAGTTCACCTGCGTGGCCGGCACGATTTGAAACCTGAGCTGCGAGAAACGGTGATGGCGGGAGATCAGCTAGGTTTGCAGCAGGTTGCATGCCTTGCATCAGCGCGGGATCAACAGGCAAGTCGTAACCATTGTCTTGAGAGTATTGCGGATAGATTGTGCCCTGCTGCTGTGCGGCCTCGAGTTGTAGCTGGCTATTCGGAGAATCTGACGGAGGCGGTGGTTGCGTTGGTGAAAACAAGCTCGGTGGGGTAGGTGTCAGGTTCGGCTGCGTGGCGCTTGATGAAAGGAAACTTGATCCTGATCTTGCCTCTGCACGCGCTTGGTTTTGACCCTGGCGCATAGCTGACAGGCCTTTGTTCATCTCGCTGCACTCTGGACAGTTACGAATGACCTGGCTAACAGTCTCCTTTATGCGAACCCAATGGTAGAGTTCGGCAATCGCTGCAGTAGTCTTATTGATGCCTCCATGGTGCTTGTGATGGATCTCGCGAGCAATCTCGTACTGCTGCTTAGGGTCTGCAATAACCTCCTTACCCTTCAGCCACAGCTTCTCGGGTTCGTCACCCTCACCAGGCGTAAGCTTGTAATGAGTAGCTGCACTACGGAGACGGCTCTTCTCTGCTCGGTCAGCACCGTTGGGATACTTTCCGTTCTTGAGATAGAAGCGAATCTTGTCGAAGCGCTCCTCAGACACAAACTCGTCATCTTGGCCTAGATCCCGACCGTATATGATGGCATCGACCAGCTCGCCCGGATACGACTTGAGGTTTCCACAACCCTTCACACGACCGATGCGCTTGAATCCGAGGGCGTCCCATATGCGACAGGAAGCGACGTTGGTTTCGTAAACTAGGTTGAAGACGGAGTATGTATAGCCCTGAGTAGGTTAGCGCATGCTGCCTAACGTCTGTGAATAGTCTCACAAGCTTTGGTGCCCAGTCTAGGTATGTCTCGCCCATCAAGCGACCAACACCTCGGTTTCGCGACGCATCTGTAACCAGAAATCCGCCGTTGCAGACATGGCTCGACCGTCCCGGGTAGTTGGGCTTGATATAGAAACTACCAAGACATTCCCTCTCCCAGTCGCAGCCTCTCCGTGCCATCTCGTGCAGTTCTCGGCCATCCTGGATCTCACCCAGCAGCATAATGGCACCAAAGACACCGAACCAGTATGGACCAAACGCCTCGAGGGTCAGCGGCTCAACCATGGGATAGGTATCGCCCTTCTCAATCTCGCGTCCTAATTGATCACATAGGTATGCCAGTAATGTGAGGGGAACTTGGTTCGGCGCAGAGAAGGGGATTATCGTTGCGCTTGTCACCCGGTCGCGCAGGATTACTTGACATGGTGCAATGCCCACTGGCAGCGGGCCACCAGGCGGAGGATATGGTACGTCGCCGGAAGTCCTATATATGACCGGCGCAGTAGGGTCATCTAGCATAGCGGGCATGGTGGGCAGACTGTCCTATGAGCTGTATCTACTGAGAAATTAGTATCGCGAGAATGACATATCGAACCCCACATTAGGAGCGGCATGTCCTCGCGACGGCGCGATTCAGGCGCCATGCTGGTGAAGCACGACTTGTAGACTTGGTACATGGTGACGACGTTGGTGTAGGACTTACGGAACAATGCGTGAGTGCCTGAGGTGCCCTAGGAATGGTCAAGCAGGATGAGAGATACTGCCGTGATGTGGTGCTCGCGGTGCGTGCCCAGCGAGATCAGCGAAACCCCCAC